GGATCAAATATTTGCCAAGCAATTAGAAAGAATAAATCAATGCATAAAAGAGCACCGACTACGACAAGTAAACGTGAATCATGAATACCCTAATAGGAAAAAAAACAATAATGATTCGAATAGTAAAGTTCGACTTTTTGTTTTTTATTTATTTAAATTCATTCCTAAAAACGACTCATATATCACTATGGAAGACAAATGATTTTTTTTTGTCATCATCAATTTGCTATGCCTTAATCATATATATTTAGTTTAACAATGACATGTATCTTTTCAAAAACAAACATGAATTGTTATTATTCTGAAAGAAATTAAAATTAGAATGCTAGGATATTAATATATTTTTGTTTTCATTAATATTTCAAAAAAAAAACAAACTTCAACTATATCGCGTGTTTGATAAATACAATCCATCATCTTCAATCAAACTTGATTAGATCTATTTTTATTTTATCAAAACTTAACGTCTAATTTACTTTTTTTGTTAAATTAATATTTGTAAAAATTGAATGTACACGCCAAGTTTTACTAAACATGGAACCAAATGCCAATGTAAAACTAATACATAAAAACCATACTCGAGTCTAAATATAAAATTAAATGATTTCGTTATATATTTTGTATATATTATTATTTAAACTTACTGCACAAATAATATTCATAATTGTTTCTGTAAAAATTGTTTGTGGAAATAATGATGAATCAATTCCTAATAAAATCATACTAATATAAGCTAACATACAACCACCTAAAATAATATTATTTAATACTGGACTTGACATTCGAATATATCTTGAAATTAAAAATAAAAATATAATTTCTAAAGTAAAATTAAATAAATCTTTTTTTTTATACCGATGTTTTCGAAAATGAATATTAAAAACAAATAGTGAAATTGATATAATTAATCCAATTCCACTACATATTGTTATTGATATAAATACTGAAAGATAAATATGTTCAAATACAATTGTTTGATTTGTTCGATCTCTTGGTGGACCATTTCCTAAACAAGAAAAAAAAAAACTTCTTCTCTATTTCAGAAAAAATTTTAATTCATACA